ACCACACATCAAAGCAGCTTATTTTTCAAGAGACAGATAATTACAGAGTTCCACAACTGGTCACACAGAAAAATTGTCTGTGAATTTCCCAAGTCTAAGTGGTGTATCTAGGATGCAATCACTACACCTAAGGTTCATGGAACACAGAACAAGGGATGAAGAGAACAAACACTAATGCATCTTTCAACGCTCATCAATGGAGCTCCCTCATACAACACATGACCAGGAACACGAAAAGTCACAAATGCCCAAAATGCAGAGAATAAGAGTCTGTAGAGTGTGGGTACTTAGACAGGACTCCTATATTAAAATCCACCCACCATGGCTCAGGGACCATTTCCAAAGAGGGGGAGGAAAGATTGTAAGAACCAAGGAGGAGGTGCATGACCATACAGAAATGGTCCTACAGGTGCCTTGGACCCTTCTCATTCAAACCTACAGCAATGGTGTCAGCATGCACAAGACCCGTGCAAACTTAAGCAGACAAAAAGCCAGCACAGAACTGTGGTAATGAACAGCAGACCCCAATCTTAGCTGAAGAATTATTGGCAGCTGATGACCGCTGGGTGAGGAAGAGCTGATTTTCCTAAAGGGAGGGACTCTAGACCTGCTTATAATCCCAGTTCTTGGTAGATCCCTGGGTCTGGCCTACTTGGTAAGCTCCAGGTAAAAAGAGAGCAACCCTGTCTCAATTAAACATTAATATGAACAGCACCTACGGAATAACAGCCAAGGTTGTCCTCCGGCCTCCACATGTATGTGTATACATGTGCATGTGTACCTATACACAACCACACAAAAAGAATCGTACAGGAAATCCGTATCTATTCTCATAATGAGGGATTGATAAAAACTGGAATTAACTGGCATTGTTCACTTGACGCACTGTAAAAACTGTATGAGATCTAGAACAATCCTCTCCTGCCTCGAGGGGAAGAAAGGAAGTTCACACCGTTTAATGAGAAGAATGTGAATCAACTTGTGAGGAAAGCTTGTAGCGCGAAGGATGCTGATCTGGTCACCTAAGGGAAATACCAATTTCCACAACCCATATTGCTGATTTCTAAGTACTTTTTTCATAAGCCATGATTGTACCTTTCTAAAGTAGCAATTGATCTTGTTTCATGAATTTGTGAAAGTTATAGTTTTTCAAGTTTCCCATTCTCTGCCCTTATCTTAGCACTGTTAATATTCTTCTGGCTTTACACCACTGTTTGAAAGCTATCCAGCATAGTCTGTTTGATGTGCTCCAATGGCGTACCACGGACTGAGTGACTTGCAAATGACAATTAATGGGAAAAAATAATCAGGCAACTGTATCATTCCCCCTCAGGCTCAGAGAACATCATGGAAGAGAGGGAAAGAAAGAATGGAAGAGCTGGAGGAAGAGGTGGCTCATAAGATTCATGAAGCTAACAAACCCTGCAGGGCTCAAAAACTCAGAAAGCTGCAGACTTCAGAAGGTCCTCCCCAAGGCTGTATGTCAGCAGTTAGCAATTCCTGGGAAGATGAGACTCTTCAGCAGAGCCACCAGGAAGCTGGACAGGAACCTACCATGATACAGCTTTGATGGCTTGTCACCCACGCTGGGGTGGGCCTTTCAGTCATGCAGCTGTCTTGAGTCACTATGTTCCTGTAAATAAGCCTTCTCCCATGTTCCTGAAGGGAACCGTTACAAACTCATTGGTTCACCAAGCTAGACTTGGTGCAGTGGTTTCTCTGGTCTGTCTTGGTCTATCTGCACTGAATAGGTGTTTGCAAATATCTTTTCACACAAAGTGCCTCATCCCCCAGCTACCAGATTTTGTTTAGATTTAAACAAATGAATTTTAGAGGAAAACAAAAAATCGATCAGTAGCTGTTCCTATGGGAAGAAATTGGACAAAATTTACAGTAGAGAGATCTTAATTATTTTTTACAGTTTCAAGTACAATGATTTCCAAAAAAATGTCCAATTAAAAACATTTTAAGAGACTGGAGAGATGACTCAGCAGTTAAGAGCACTGGCTGCTCTTGCAGAGGACCTGGGTTCAGTTCCTAGTGTCCACATGACAGCTAACAGTTGTCTGTAATTCCAGTTCCAGGGAATCCATTGCCCTCTTCTGGCCTCCATGGGCATTGCATGCATGGGTGCATTTCCATATCCGCAGACAAAACATCACGCACATAAAATAAAAATTTTAAATTAAAACCTTTTTACAGTTGTATTGTTTTTCTTGATTGTTGCTGGATTCTTGGTTTTTCTTAGTTTTTGTTTTGATTTGTTTTGTTTTGTTTCAGTGCCTGTCTTTTATGGTAGAAGCTTCCTTCCTATGTCTGCTTGTCTGGGGCTAAACATCAATATTTAAAACCCAACGACTCAAACGCTCACTGGAAGGACTATGGGCATGCACGGGGTTGGGAATACACAGGTTCTCCGGTCAGAAGCTCCCTGAATGGCCGTTCGGAACTGCTTATCTGGTTTGCTGTTTTGGTATCTCTCAGTAAAACTCGCCATCCGTCCTGTTGGGGCTTCCATCTCAGAGTTCTGCACTAACAGGGGGGTGAGGACTAGAAGCTGGACTCTCTCTGGCCGAGGACAAGCATTCCACAGTTCACTTTAGGCCTCTCTGAATCCTCTCACTGATCCTGTTACATGTTGACTTCACCGGGCACTTGATTTTAGGACCCCTGTTCATGGTAGAGCTTTCTCCTCACTGTCAGGACTCTTTATTCAAGCCAACCATGTCTCTTCCTAACACCAGAGGCTTATACCCACATGACAGACACGGTTGTTTGCCAATCTCAACCCTCATTTTCCTGACAGAAAAGGCTAGACCTTTCCGTTTCCCTCTACAGACTGAAGGGAATGTAGGACTCAGTGTTGACCAACTGAGAATTCTCCTGAGGCAGTTCTAAAAACTTCTGTACCCTCTGCGTACACACAAAAGAAAAAGCATTCATATGCTTTTCTCTTTTTATTTCTTCTCCCTAAATGACTTGACTATAAAGATATGATGCCTGGACCTCTGGCAGTCACGTCCCCATAAGAGAGAAAAGGTAAGCCATTAACAACAGAACTTGGTGCCATAACATCTTTTGATTTGCCAAATTAACAACCTGCTTGAAATTGTTTGAGTCTTCTGAGTAAGATAGTAACTTCCTCCTTATTCAAGATACTGCCATTTGATTACTCTGCTACTTGGAACCAAAAGCATCTTACTGGTGTAGCTTTCAAAGGAGATAATCACTGTTTTCTGAACAATTCACCCCTTACCCGGTGCAGAAGTGTCACATGGAAAGCAGTGCATTTTAAGAGGGTGATTCATACAATGTGAACACGGATTTTCCCATAATGGTGGAGTCAGGAGGCTGAGACAAAGGAAACAACTGGAGGGGAACAGATGCTGGACCTGAAGAGGAAGCAGTTTGGAGGTTGTAAAAAGTATCACGGGTATTGAAAAGACTTTGATGTGAAACATGGAAACCTGTGCTGAGAGACCACACAGATCAAGCAAGTTTATTTCCCCCTCTTCTCCATTCTAAAAAGTGACTGTGAATGTAGGGAAATATGTGGGAAAAAAAAAAAACAAAACAGAGGAAGTACGGAAAGGATAAGCTCAGAGCTGCCATGATGGCTCAGGCAGAAACCAAGAGGAGCCTGTAACGTTTATGCCTTGGACAGGATGGGAGCTGGAAGGGAAGCGGGGGCTTCTGCATCATGGTCTTCACGTTAGATCCATTTATAGTGAGACTTAAAAATGATGTGTATCCTCAGCATTGCAGAGGAGGGGCAGAAAGATTGTAAGAGCCAGGGAGGAGGTGCATGACCACATGGAAACAGAGTCCTACAGGCTCCTGGGAACCTGCTCATATGAACCTACAGCAATGGTGTCAGCATGCACAAGACCCACGCAAACTCAAGCAGACAAAAAGCCAGCACAGAACTGGGGAAATGAACAGCAAACCCCAGTCTTAGCCAAAGAGCTATTGGTAGCTGATGACTGCTGGGTGAGGAACAGCTGATTTTCTTAAAGGGAGGGACTCTAGATAGTCTTACTTGACCTCAGTGGATGAACTTGCACTGAGAGATGTCTAGGGACACTAACATGACACGATAGACCTTAACACAAATGACAGAATGCATGAATTCCAGTGGCGGGGGCCTATGGGCAGGTGCCAATGGGGAGGGGGTATAAAGATGATTAAGATGTTCTGCATGAAATACACAAAAATTCAATAAAAATTTACAAAAAAAATGATATGCACCCTCAAGGAGACACAGAAAGCAACAATACAAAGAAAAAGCCAGAATAAAAGGTAGATTCTGACAAAGAGGAAAAGACCAGGATGTAGGGAAAAAGGAGAAATGCCTGTCTATATTAGGTTCAGTTCAAGGTACTGTGAGAATCTCCAGGGAACGTTGCATGGCCTGCCCTCCAGGCACTCTCACTCCAGGGTGGGAATCCATACTTGGTGCCCCTAAAGTTGGACTCAGTGGAACCACATTCTGTCACTCACTTGTTTTCACCTTTGAGCAAGTCTCTATGCTTTGAGTTTTCTCATTTGTAAAACTGTCTAATATAATAACAATATATTCACTATCACTTTTATGAGAATGAATGAGGTGTGTTGAAAGTCCCTAACACAGTACCTGACACAGGTATAGGTCACCAAGAACTGAGTATAGGGCCTAGAGAGATGACTCGGGAGTTTAGAGCACTGACTGCTCTTGCAGAGGATCTGGATTTGGTTCCCAGCACCCACATGGTAGCTAACAACCGTTCACAATTCCAGTTCCAGAGGCTCTGACACCCTTTTCTGGCCTCTGTGGGCATTGCATGTTACAGATGCACTCAACATATATGCAGGCAAAACACTCATACCCATAACATAAAAATAAATATTCCTCAAAGAATTCTTAGTGTAATCTGGTTTATTTTACTTTATAAGGACTTTTCTACATTTCTAACCTGGGATAACACAAGTTCAGAGAGATTTGCCATTTAAAGTCATCCTATTTAATGCTCATCCTTCTTGGAAATCACTAAGCGCTTTGCTAATCTCTTCATGGTTAGCTGCATCTCCTGGTTCCTGAGGGTGTAGATCATGGGGTTCAGCATGGGGGTCAAGACTGTGTAGCTGATGGACATAGCCTTGTCCAGGGGAAAGGGAGTGAAGGGCCTGGAGTAGATATAGATGCAGGGAATGAAGATCATAGACACCATGATGATGTGTGTGATGCAGGTGGAAGCCGCCTTCCTCCTTGCCTGCCCTGAGTGGGCTCTCAGCATCACCAGGATGACAGTGTAAGAGATGAGAAGGAAAAGGAACCAGATGAGAACCAACATGCCACTGTTGGAGATCATGAGGAACTCCAGGAGGGAGGTATCCATGCAGGCCAGCCTCAACATTTGAGGCACATCACAGTAGAAGTTATCCAAGACATTGGGACCACAATAAAGTAATGGGAGCATCAGAACCATCTGGACAACGGAATGGATAAAGCCCCCTACCCAGGCAGCCACCACCAGCCCGACACACAGTCTGGTGTTCATGATGGTGACATAGTGGAGGGGCCGGGAGATGGCTATGTAGCGGTCATAGGCCATCACTGAGAGGAAGAAGACTATCCCACCTCCTAAGAAGTGGAAGAAGAAGATCTGTGTCATGCATCCCTGGTAGGAAATGGTCTTGGTCTCATGAAAGAAGTCCACCAGCATCTTTGGGCAGGTGACTGAGGAGAAGCAGAGGTCTAAGACAGCCAGATTGCGAAGCAGAAAATACATGGGTATGTGGAACCTGGAATCTGAGGTCACTGTGACTATGATGAGGAGGTTTCCCACAACAGTAGTGGTGTAGACAAACAAGAACACCAAGAACAAGAAAATCTGGAGCTCTTGAGTCTGTGAGAGCCCCAGCAAGACAAATTCTGACACCCCTGTGAGGTTTTCTTGGTCCATGATGACTTCTCCATACACTTAACAACAATGGATAACAGGCAGAGGTGCATGAAGTGACTCCTTGCTCTTAGACTGAGTAGTTTGGGTCCATGTGAAGACTGTCATGCCACCTGCTGCCCTGACTCTGCAGAGTTGACAAATGGCTCCTGGACTGCACATTCAAGCAATACTGATTTCATTTTGTTTTGTTTGTCTATCTGTGTGAGAGAGGATCTCACTACATAGCACAGGCAGTCCTCAAATTCAAGGTCTTCTCACCTCAGACTTCCAAGTGCTGATGAGATGTCTTGTAGCTTTCCAGAAGAACAGCAATCTGCCTTTCCAAGGGTGCTGTAGTGACGGGAAGACTTGCAGAGAAAGGAACTCTGAAGAAAATTTCAGGTCTTTATTTTGCTTGAGAGTTGACCAGGAATAACTCATTTATTTTGATAAAATCTCAGTTTCTCCATCTGTAAGGTAGTTTTTAAAAAGGGGGGGGGTTCTTAGCAAAATTTAGTGGTACAAGCCTAAAACCCATTGGGAGATTGACACAAGAGAATCAGGAGTTCAAGGTCACCTTCTGCTACGTGAGGAATAAGAGGCCAGCCTGAGCAGCCAGAGACCCTGTCTCAAAAAACTTTTTTACTGGACTTTCTGTGGACACATTGGTCATTTCAGAGGGGCACATCTGAAGGCCCTAATAAGCTGTCACTGTCCCCTGGGTGTCCTAGTCAACAGTCATCCTCCTTACCTAGTCTTTGCATTTTTGTATGACTTTTCACCCAGCATTTAGTATATTACAGTGTCAACCATCTTTTCATGGCCTGAGCATTTCCTCTACAATCCAGTCACAAGAATCTGGGGACACTGGTCTGAAATTCACAATCCATTTGTTCCCGGTAGTGCCCAGCCTGGTAATAGGCAGCATTTAATGGGATTCTATTGTTCTGATGGCAGGGTGGGTGAGTAGTTACAAGATGTGCAGTGTCATGTCCAAGAATCACTGGACACATCTGGAGACCTGAACTCTCCATTTTCTTCCCAGTACCAATGTGGGCATCCCTTACCAGGACAGATACCACAGGACATGTGTGCAGGCAGGAGGGAGTTGGAGTTGAGAGGTTCGTGAAATCAAGAGATGGACGATGGTCATTGTGGGAAGGACACTCAGAGCTCTTCTAGAAGAAGACTGATCTTATTAGATGTTACAAAACCCAAAGAAGAGAAAAGAGTTAATTGAAAAGACATAGGAGCAGGTGAAGCAAACGAAGATTATAAGGAAGAGAAACAGGATCAAAGAACAGGTGAAGGCAGGAAACGTCAAGGTTTAGGAAATATTGGCAGAAAAGGAAAGTCAGATGAAGATGTAGTGACAGAGTGAGGACAGAGTACAGGCTCCTTGACCCCTGTTCTCTCTGTCTCCCCCATTCTCTCTCTTCTGGCTTCCTGCAGTCTGCTAGTGACAAGAGACCGTTATCTTCCGGTCCTGTCCTCCGTACAACCAGCTGCCCCATGAGACCTTCAAGGGGAACCAACCATGCTCCTTTCTGTCATTAAATTGCATGACAGTCTAGTGCCCACAGCTTAAAACTCCAAGTCCAAAACTAAATGTTCGGAGCATACAGTTAGCACTGAACAACACTGTCATGTGTGTATGCAGCTCCCTCTCAGCATTCCATGAAAGGCTATAACAGTCACCTCCATATACCTTTGTAATTAGGATCACTGTCACCCAAGAACCGATTGCTATCTAAGGAATTTATAGTTTCTACATATACCATCTATTTAAATATATCTGTATCCTTTGTTAAAATCCTGTTTCCTTAAATAACTTTGGTTAGGAATTCAACCTGGAACCACTCAGATACCACCTTTTCTATGACTCCTTTCCCTGGATCTCCCACACGGAGCATCTCTGTTATAGCACTGATGATTCTTTCCTGTTACCTCCTTAATCAAGTTGCAAATTCAATAATAGAATCTATGACAGCAACTCTGATTTAGTAGTTGCTCAAACAACTTTTGCTCTCAACACCCTTCCTCTAAATCATAGGGTCAATTCTATGCTTAGCTGGTTTCACATGTAACCTGGGGCACCTGTTTTCAACAATCCCTTCCCCCACCCCTGCTGTACCTCCAGTCTCTCCTCACACACTAGGCTGACTCCCATCAAGTTTGTATCACTCGTTTGCAGATGTCTGCAAGGTCCTTCCAACAGCTGACCGTGTGCAGGAGAGTACACCCCTTTTCAGCCCGGCATGGGACTTCATGGTTTAGATCTTGCTGTAGCTTCAGGTTTCCCTTTAGTGGACTGCCGTGTGGGACCTTAGAAGAACAGGGAATATTCTAGGGGGAAACCTTTTGGACAGGGCTCAGGAAGCAGAGCTGGGCTCATTACCTCTGGGACCAAGGCAGCAACGGGACTTATTAAAAAGTTTCTGTGGGTCTCAAAACACAAGACTTTTTAAGAGGTCTTCCTTGGGGGGCCAAAATACCAAAAACATTGAGCATTTTAAAGAGTCCTGTGATATAGGGCTTTCTGTTCAAGAGCCAAAAGAACAAGAGAGTCTTCAACAGAGACAGACTGGGAGATTTAGAAGCTGTTTTGTGATTCTTAGAGAATTACTCGGAGGGCTTGCTGTCACGCAGATTGTTGTGTCCAACCCAGCCTTTCCCACTGGGTAGGTCTACGGCAAGATCAAGAATCTGTGTTTGTAGAAAGTTCACAGCTGATACCAATGCACCTGTTCCAGGGACCAGACACTGGGAACCACTGACTTACTCAACAACACAAAGCACAGTTCTGTCATGGTCATAGCAATTAGCTCTTAGGTGACAGAGATACTAACTGCAAAGCTAACTGGTTAGATTTCTTTCTTCTCTTTTTTTAAAACTGAGTTGATATTTACTTAGGAGATATAATAGATGAGGAATTGTATACCATAACCTTAAAACTCTATAAATCTTGCCCTTGACAACCAGACAGCCATGGTAGATTCACCACCATCGTCAATTCTATTCACACCATCTATAAAGTACTGGCATTCTTTGCATTTGAATTGTTACTTTCTTTTTAAAAACTTTATTACATTTATTTAGTGGAACATGTGTGCCACAGTAGGTGTATAGAGATCAGAGGACAACCTGGAGGAGTTGATGTCTTCTTCCCCATGTGGGTTCCAAGATTCAAGTTCAGGTTGTCAGGTGGTGACAAGTGCCTTTCCCTGCTGAGGCAGTTTGCTGGTCCCCTGAATTATTGCTCTAATACAAGAATTATGCAGGAAATCCTGTATGTTCTCATTATGAGGGGTTGGAAATAATGGCATTGTATACTTAGTATAATGTAAAAACTATGTGATAGCTAGGACATTTCTCTCAAGACCCAAGGGAAAGAAAGGGAAGATCACACCTGCCCATGAGGAGAGTATGAATCAGCCTGTGTGGAAATCTCATAAAACTGAAGATGCCGCTCTAGTCATCTGAGAAAAATACAATGTTCTACAAACCATACTTCTAATTGCGAAGAATTCGTCTCACCTTCTAACTATACACGTCTAAAGTAGCATTCTAATCTTTGTTCATGAATGTGTGTTAATGATAGTTTTTTAAATAGCTTTCTGTCCCATGTGTTGGCTGTATCAGTGTTACTGAGCTATGGATACTACACAATGGTTTTGTTGCATCTGTTGGTCTGGCCTACAGCACACCATGGGCTGGAGCACTTACACAGAACATCCATGTAATCCTCACAGTTCTGGTGGCTGGATGAAGTCTGAGGTCCAGGTGCTAAGTGATTTGGGTCTCATGGAAGTCAGCTTCCTGGTTTACAGACTTTACCCCTGTGTTTTCACGTGGTGGAGGGAGGGGGCTTGCTAGGGCCTCTTTTATAAGGGAACTGGTACTATTCAGAATAGGTGTCCTGATTCCCCTGCCAAAGACTTTACACCCTCAAAACATCATATTTTAATTAGGTTTCAACACATGAATTGGGGAGAAACAAACATTCAGTGTGTCGCAAGTCCCATGGAAGGAAATTGGACAAAATTTACAGTTAAAAGATCTTTATTATTTCTTACAGTTTCAACCACAGTTGTTTCAAAATAAAAAGTTAAATTAATTTTTTAAATGTTGTATTCTTTTCCTTGAATTATAGTTGGTTTCTTGAAGTTCCTTTTTTAAGTTTTTTCCTTTATTTTGCTTTACTGTTTTTTATGGTGGAAGTTTTAATCTGTCTGGTGGTGGTCAGTGGCTAAACAATATTTAAAGATGAACCTCTCAAATACTTACTGAAGGTCTGTGTGCACCAGTAGGGCTCACACACATGTAAGTCTCCCTGGCTCATCAGGTCAGATGAGCTCCATGAAACACAATTTGGAATGAAGTCCTCGAACTTTCTGGGGCTTTTTAATATCTCCAAAGAATTTTTTTCTCTGGGGCCTGACATGGTGGTACACATCTTTAATCCCAGCACTTAGGAGACAGAGACAGATGGATCTCTGTGAAATCAAGGCCAGCCTGGACTACATAGCGAGTTCCAGGCCAGCTGGGGCTACAGGGAGACACTGTCTCAAAAAAAAAAGGAATAAAGAAAGAAAGAAAGAGAGAGAGAGAGAGAGAGAGAGAGAAGAAGGAAGGAAGGAAGGAAGGAAGGAAGGAAGGAAGGAAGGAAGGAAGGAAGGAAGGAAGGAAGGAAGAATTCTTCTGGGCTGGGGATGCAGTTCAGCAGTAGAGTGATTACCTAGCATCCAGGAAGCCCAGGTTTTATCCCCAGCCCTTCACAAATAGGGCATGGTGGTACATGCCCATAATTCAGTAACTGGGAGATAAGAGGTAGGAGGATCAGAATTTCAAGGTCATCCTCAGGTACATAGTGAGTTCAAGGCCAGCCTGGGATATATGAGATCCTGTCTTAATAATAGTAATAATAAATCCTTTTGACTGATCTGTTGGGGCTTACATTTAAGAGTTCTATATTAGTGTGAAAATGAGGTCAAGGAGTGAGGCTTTTCCTTGGCTGGGGT